GTACCACAGAGCTTCTTGAATATGCCACGGGGAAATATTTGCCAGAATCGATGATTACCTTTTTTTGCTCCCTCTTGGCCTCTCTTTGCTTGCATGCTGTCCTTCAAATATTGGAACTATATGGTTATGCTATCAGACCATGACTGAGGAAGGATGTACATATCCTTGGGTCCAGCTGTAGAGAATTACAGACTCATAGGCTATGAGAGTTGGAAGAAAGTTCTTTCGGAAGATATTGAGACCCAGAAAGAGAAAGTGACTTGCTTTAAAGTATATAACTGGTTACACCAGTAGAACTGGGGCTAACATCTAACCTTTGGGCCAATACCTTTGGGGACAGAGAGTCACATTGTCAGAGCAGAGCAGAAAGAGCCTTGGGAGAATAATAGTTCTGTTTTCCTAAAAATAAAATATGACTTCTACTTATGAAATTAATACCTGGGTATTATAGAAAATCGAGGAAATACAAAAACATCTAAGAAAAATTAGATGAAAGAATCAAGATTTTTACCACCAAGTTGAATTTCCTCCCAGTCTACTTCTCTACAAACACACACACACACAGAGAGAGAGAGAGAGAGAGAGTCTACCAGTTAGAGTTTGGGCAAGAAAGAGAAAACATCCAGCTTGGATTTTGAAGATAAGTAAGTGAAGGAACTATTAATAGATTTAAAGGAGCCAATAAGGGATGTTGGGATACCTAGGGACTAGCAACAGTGGGTAGGGGAAAGAAAAAGTGTATCGGAGCTCAGGGAGAGCTAGAGCCATGGGAGAAGAACCAGCCATCCAAAATTGTAATAATAGAAGGCGTGGGCAAGGGATTTACCAATCTTTCCCCCTTGGGCACGAGAATTTGAGTTGTAGTTAACTTCATCACTGTTTCCCTGGCAGTCTGATGAAAGTTGGAATGTTAACAATGTTACAAAGCAATTTTGCTTATGCTAAAAATGACCCGGGATTGGGAGAATTATGAAGACTTGGTGGGGAAGCCATACCTTAGGTCTCTTTAAGTGCAGTGATTCTTGAGACTGGCATGTCCCTTGCCAGGACCCTGTGGGGGTGTGCCTGTGGTGTCATTTCAAGAGGTGATATTATTTTTTTTTAAAGATTGTATTTATTTATTTGACAGAGAGAGACACAGTGAGAGAGGGAACACAAGCAGGGGGAGTGGGAGAGGGAGAAGCAGGCTTCCTGCCGAGCAGGGAGCCTGATGTGGGGCTTGATCTCAGGACCCTGGGACCATGACCCAAGCCAAAGGCAGGCGCTTAATGACTGAGCCACCCAGCTGCCCCAAGAGGTGATGTTCTTATGAGATAGGAAGCTTTTAAGCTAGGGTAGCTTCCTTGCCCCTTGTACCTGAACTGCCATGGTATGGACTGCAGCAGAAACTCTCCTTGAGGAGAGGTTCCTGACACTGCCCTGCTGTGTTTCCTGTCCTATGTTCTTCTTCTCAGTACACTTCTCTCCACGTGTGGCTCTGTCTTTGAGCATGAATATTCAATTGAATCTAAGAAAACTCTACTGATGGGCACCTGATGGGATATATTGCTGCCAAAACCATCATGCCAGAGCAGGGAGAAGAAGGGGAAAAATATTGCAAGCTCTCTCTTTTCCCTCCCTCCAGTCTCTTGCCACATTGATTAAATCTAACCACAAGACAGAGGTCAAGAAGAAGGAGTCCCATTGTCCTAGCTTGTGTCAGATGTTTCCCATAGTTTGTTTATCATTCTCATGTTGAAGGACATTTGCCTGTACACATAAAGCTGCTATGAACATGTGTGCACAAGGCTTCAGTCATATATTTTCATTTCTCTTGGATATAGATTCACAGGAGTGGAATTGCTGGGTCATAGAATGGACAACATTGAACTTTTCAAGAAACTACCAAACAATTTTCCAAAGTAGTTGTACCATTGCGTATTTCCACCAGTAACACCTGAGAATTCCTCTTGGTCCACACCTTTCTAACATTTGGTGTTAACAAATTTTTTTCATCTGGGTCAGTTTTGTGGCTGTATAGTGATATCTGATTGTGATTTTAACTTACATTTCCCTGATGACTTAATGATGCTAGGACTTCTTCATGTGCTTGTTTGTCATTCACATATCTTTTATGAAGTATCTATTTAAGTCATTTTAAAGCTAGATTTTTTTTTAGTATTATTTATTTTATTATTGAATTGTGTGAATTCTTTACATATTATGGATACAAGTACTTTGACTGGTTTGTGTGTTATATTACTTTACTCTCAGTCTGTGGATTGCCTTAATGGTGGCTTTGAATAAGCAAAATTTAATATATTGATGAAGTCTGATTTAGAACTGTTTTTCTTTCTGTGTCTTTTCTTTGCCTACTCAAAGATTTAAAAAAAATCATAGTTGTAGATTTTTAAAATGCTGTCCTTTTTAAAAAAGATTTCCATTTAAAAATGAAATCCAATTTGGATATTTTTCATCTCACTATATTTTATAGACTAAATGTTTGTGTCCCTTCAAAATTTATATGTTGAAATCTAATCCCCAGTGTGATGGTATTTGGAGGTCAGGACTTTGGGATGTGGTTAGATCATGAGGGTAGGGCCCTCACGAACAGGATTAGTGCCCTTATAAAAAAAAGACTCCGAGAGTTCCTTTGTCCCTTCTGCCACGTGAGGACCCAGCAAAGAAGATGGTCGTCTAGGAACCAGGAAGCAGCCCTTTACTAGATACCAAGTCTGCCAGTGCATTGATCTTGGATTCCCAAGCCCCCAGAACTATGTTTCTGTTGTTTAGAAGCCACCCAGTATGTGGTCTTCTGAAATAGCAACTCAGAAAGACTAACACACTGTGTATCCAACTTCAGAGTAGGGATATCTTTATGTAATTTCATGAGATCCTATTTGCTTAAAGCTGCAGAGGGACCTTTATACCATCTTTTCCACATGCTTCCCTAACATTAGGTTTCTTTCTTAAAAAAATTCCTGATAATAATTCACCCTCTGGATGCTTCTAGAGATTGAAGCTACCAGAAGTGAGTCCCCTTTTGGGGAATACAAAATGTAAAAGAATCGCTTCTTGAAATTAAAATACTCTTTCAATAGTCTCCTCATTAGAATTTTATACAATATAAATTTCATTGACACATTAGTGTGATAAGAGTTCTGAGACCCAAATCACAGTTGACCTTTGAACAGTGTGGGGGTGAGGGGCACTGACACCCACTCCCCCCAATGCAGTTGAAAATCTGTACATTACTTTTGACTTCCCGTAAGCTTAACTGCTAATAGTGCAGTGTTGACCAGAAGCTTTACCGATACACAGAGTCAATTAACATATTTTGAATGCTGTATGTATCATATACTGTATTCTTACAATAAAGAAAGGTGGAGGAAAGGAAATCATAAGGAAGAGAAAGTACATTTATGGTACTCTATTTGTTGAAAGATAATCTGCATGAAAGCGGACTCAGCAGCTCACATTCATGCTGTTTAAGGGTCAGCTGTACAGTCTAGGGACCAGTGTCCATACGGCTTCAGGATCAGTCACGATCCCTGTCTGAGCAGCAGCAGTGTGGTAAATGCAATGAGGAACATGTGGCATGATCAAGGTAACTGCCCTTCCTAAGTATGTCAGGGAACATTTCATAGGGGAAATACACTTGTGCTCAAACAGAGTAGGAGTGTTCATGAGAAGCTGGAGAAAAGAGGCATGGAGAGGTGGAGAACGAGGAGGAGTGAATACTGCCGTGCCTTTGGGTCTGAGACCCAAGCAGTGGGAGATGAGACTGGAGAGCTAGCCCACGCACAGCTCAGGAATGGGTGAGGACTTTGCACCTTGCTCTGCGGCTTCTCTGCAGAGGCTGGAGTGCATGGGGAGACTGGTGGCTCTCAGATCAGTGAAGAGGCCCAAGCAGTAGCTTATGGTGACAGTTCTCAAATTTTCAAGTACTTGTGCTTCAGGCTGTCAGTCCCCCACTGAGTCGGAATGTCCATGGGGAGGGGGGCTTTGAAGATTTTCCCAGGCTCTGTGGGTGGGTCTGAAGCACCCTGGGTTTTGAAAACCACTGGTTCAGGGCAACGATGAGGGAGTGAGAAAGAGAGGAGGGCCTTGATTAAGAGGTAGTAGAAAATGAGATAGCGACTCCTCTTGGTGACCAACCGTCTGTAAGGCGTGAGAATGTGGGAGAATTCTGGTTTGAGCAACTTCAGACATGACATCGATGTCAGGCATCTGCATGGTAACACGGAGTAGGAGATCTGTGGGAGAAAATTGGGAAGTTTAGCTATAGATATAAGGCCAACTTACTGTCAAGAAATACCTATTTTTATCACCTAGAAATAATATTAACTTTGGGAGGTTATGGTTCCGTCCATTCAAATATTGCTGATAATAGTGAAATACTTTCACATATTCTTTTCAAAGGACATATTTCACTCACATTTGTTAGGCACTAAGATTTGTTGCATGCCGACTATGTAGTGTGATGACTTTTAGGCTAGATATTATTATCATTCTGCAGATGATGAAACTGAAGTTCAGAGAGGTTAATTGATTTCCCTAAGACCATCTTAGGAACCAGGTAGAGCTAGGATTCAAAACTCTTGACTTTGCTGAGCCCAGTTCGCTCTTGAACCTCTGTCTCTCATAGGAGGAATGGGCAGGATTTTTTTTCTTGTCATTCATATATGATAAACGTGGAGTCCAGAGAAAGTGTGATTTGCCTATGGTCTTAAGCCGGTAAGTACAGAGTGGGGACGAGAGCCCAGGTGCTGCTTCCTGGCCACTGCTGTTTTCACTTGAACTTCTTGCTTTCCAGATGACTGAGTTTATTTTCCACTTGTTTCATGTACCATTAGACCTTTCCCTCTCAAATAGGAAGAGTTTAGAGAATTATGAATATCATTTTGAAGGAAAGAAATATTGTCTGAGAAGCAAAACCAACTTTCAAAGCTCAATTGCTTCGGAGCAGTGTACGATGGTACATTTCCAGCCTGTGCATGAATTTTTTTTTTTTTAATTAGGAACCTGACCTTCATGATGATGATAGAAATATGGAAATAAGTCCAGGAGAAAAGGTGCTTCGGAACACCAAAGAGCAACGGGATCAGCAAAACCGGCTGAGAGAGATAGATGACAAGCTGAGGAAGCTGAAGGAAAATATGGTAAGTCTTTTTTTAATTTCAGGTTTAACTGTCACCAATGATTGTTTTAAAAAAAAGCTTCCAGTTTCCTTGGACTGTTTTATGACTGGTTTTATATTTGTTAAGTCCGTCAAGAAAACTTACATGGGAATTTGTCACTGAGAATTTGAATAAAAATACGATTCATAGAACTTAAAGTAATATACCTACTTTATGTGATATAATAAACCTGTGAAATACTACCTGAGGTCACAATAATGATCCATACGCCTAATATTCTGTGCCTGACAGTGACATAAATTTTTTTAATGGAAAAAATTGGTAGTTATTCTCCATAAAATCATCTTTGTAGAACTTACAGCTTAAATACTCCCACTTTTTGTTCATAATTCATAATATATTGTTACTCAGTTTTAATACGTTCTAAATCCTTCTTGTGCCTATCCCATGTTTTAAGAGCTTGTCGTGTAAAAACATATTGCTGATGAGAGAAAGCTCTTCAATCAACTAAATTGTGAGCTGGTTGATGTTCTGAAAGGCTCCATAATATTATGATTTCCCAGCTACCCAGAGGATGCTTCCAACAGGATACTCGGCTTTTCCCTAAAATGAAACATGAAAAGGCTCAACTTGTGACTCTCCCTACATCCTCTCTCTGAGGGCTGGTCTTGTCCCAGTTGCCAGCAGCACCTACTTTCTGTCACCTACTAAATCCTATTATCTTGGGTGATCTTCAAGCCTCATTAAGTTTTAACCAGTATGGCCAATTTGCTGTCATATCTTTCCACCGTTCTTTATGACTCTGAAAATCTTTTCTCTTTTGTCCTTGCATGTATCACCCTATGTCAGCAATGTCACCTCCTGTCTAGCCACTTAAACCTGGTCAGTCTCTTCTCTCATTATTCCATTTTATATGCTGTTGCATGGGTGTAAGCATCAGGTAAGTGATTTTGATTAAATTCTGATCTCCTTAGAGCTCTCCCAGAGTGTCCCTGATCCCGACGGAGATTTTTCACCTCTTCTGCTCATGTGCAGCTGAATTGCTCTTAACCATTCGCCAGCCATGGACAGCCCCTCTGACTCGGAGCCTAGAGGATAGGCAGGTCTGCCTCATGAGGGCCAGGCAGCAGATCGAAGGGGGAATGAATGCATTGTGCTTCTCTTTATCATTCATTCTTGTTTACTTTTCATGGGAAATGAAATGGGAATTATATTTCAGGGACACCTCCATTTTTATTTTCTGAGGGATTTTTTTTCTCCTTGAGGCTGTTGATACAGGGAAGAAGTAGAGGAAGTTAGAATGGTTAGGGAGCGTAAAGAGGCTCTTGGCCGATAGTTGTGGTGGATTGCAAACTTGATATGGTAAATAAAATGTTTGTGGCTTGACTGGTTTTGAAAACTGTTGGCGCTTCTCATCCCATACCTACCAACCCAAGGCAGGCAAAGCCTGTCATTCTCCATAATTCAGCTCTCCTGATTTCTGACCACTTGTCATATGCCTTGGATGTATATCCATTATTTTCTGCCACGTCTCTACTATTATTTGATTTTTGACTCAAAACCTGGATCCTTTAGGAAAACTTGTTTTCTTTTCCAGTGTCATGTGAAAGTTGGCTAGACTTATAGAGATATGATAAATATCAAGAGTTGGTTGTTATCTAAGTGGAAAAGAATAATACATAAGTAGAGAAGAGCAACTATTGTGTGCCTACAGGGGCAGGCACTGTTCCAAGTACATTATAACTTACTATGTAGTGTTTATTAGCACTCTGTGAGGCAAACACTACTATCCTCACTTTCCAGATGAGGAAATAGAGGTTGAGTAACATCCTCAAGCATATGTAGCTACTAAGTGGAAAAGAGAGGATCCAAATGATCAGTTTTTAAGAACTATCTTGTTTTACAGTCAACACTTGGAGAAACTGGTATGATAAAGGCATATGAATGTTGATCTGTATCATCTTTATGTTTTAATTGCTTAGCGTTTCATAATATCCTGTGGATCACATTGTTTACCACATGTGTGTACTTTTTAGGGAAGATACAATGTCTGTTCTAGGTACTTTGTGGGTGGGGAATCTGGAGACCTGAGTCCTTGTTTCAAGGTTGTCAGTGGCCTGATCTGTCACCTTGATAAGTCACTTAAGTCTCTTAGAGCCTTGGTTTTCCTACTTTAAAATCAAGGGAGTAGGGCTAGATGACCTCTTTCCTTTTGCCTGTGATTGTTGACATATTTTTGGTGAAAAATGATGTTATTGGTAGTATCTAAAGCTTAGTGTATATGCTTGCCAAACGTTTGGCATTAATTGGTTTAAATATTTATGGAAAGTTACTTTTGGAAGTTCAGTAAAACTTTTTAGGGGAATGTGAGATTGTCTTCCATATATAGAAAAAGGTTAGTGGGCTACCTGTAGACCAAAGAATATGTTTTCTGAATGATAGCTTTTGGAAATGGCTAATTTTGTAGTTTTGTCTTATTCTTCCTATGACAAGGGAATATTGTTTCAAGATCACTGATTTGGGTGAAAGCAGTAATCTGTGGCCATTGAACTGGTGATTTAGGGATAAAATTCATACTCAGTTTTAGGGATGTACTGGGGAAGGAGTGAAGGAAGGGGCAGTGTAGGAGCCCTGGGAATAGTCCTGGAACCACCTGAATCCCAGGATTGATTTGTTGGTAAAAGCTGGAAAAGTGACTTAATTCTGTATTTCATATGGTGGGCTGAGGCTGTGAATGCACATTTGCTTTGGTCAAGATTGATGGAGGAAGTGGGATCCAGTTTAGTCTGAAGGTGGTAATGGTATTGCTGGTGTCAGTGGATCCAGCTCTTAGGAGCTAGAGAAGGTAGGCACAGTGAAATGAGGTTGAGGCTCACAAGTTTAGTATGAATTTCAGTGGGCAGACAGGAGTCCTGAATACCAGCTGCATCAGTAGAGGAAGGATTAGCCGTGGCTGCTAGAAGCTGCATATGTGAAACAAATCTTTAGGATTCGCTCACTATGAGTCAGCAATGGGATGTAGCAGTTATGCTGCCTATTATGGGAGAGGTGAGCAAAATGGATCTATGGATTGTAGAGTGACAAGGATGAGGAAGAGATTTAAAACCAGGTCCTATGAAGGATTGTTTGTATTTATGGGACTGAGTATATTTATGGGACTGAGTATATTTATTTCGCTTGGTGAAGAAGAGGGGTGTGTGTGTGTGTGTGTGTGTGTGTGTGTGTGTGTGTGTTGTGGGGAAAGGGGATGGTTTGGTAGAAAATCACACAATAACCACTTCCCAAAGATATCTAAAGGACTACTATTTGAAGTATTAGTTTTAATCTTTGATAGCTTAGGAAAAAACATGGTAATTGGGAGGCCATGGAGAGACAGAGTTCTGGTAAATATTAAGGAAGAGTTACCAAGATTTGAGTGGGATTCATCTGTCTGGGGCAAGGTTTTCAAGGCTGGAGAGAGTAGAGAGGGCTTAAATATCAAAAAGGTGGCTGAACGGTGTGGGTCACCTCCAGCACAAGCTGGCCGCTTGCGAATGGCAAGTGCATGGAGGTGCTGTGCGCACGTGGGGGCAGGATTTGTGCTGAGCCACTCATCTCTTGCCCGGTTGGTTCCCATGGGCTTAGGAGTATTGGCTTTGACCATGGATAAGAGCTCCTCTGTCAGGTTAACTACTTGTACGGAGATAATTTGAGATGATAGAATTAAGAGAAAATGGAAAGCTGTATTCATAGAATAGGCAACACAAGACAGACCCCGCCAATGACCTCTCCATCATTTGCCATACAGTGGGCTCTGGTACCTGTCCCCTGATTTCCTGTCTAGCTCAGAGATTCCCTTTCAAAGAGTGAAGGGGCAGAGAGGCCTGTGGGTGCTCTACAGGCCTCTCTGCCCCTTCACTCTTTGAAACCCACTCTGCTTTATATTTCCTCCCTGGTTTATAGTTCCGCTATGTAAGCTTCTATACATGGGACATAGTGGTTAAGGGCCAGACACTGGAGCAACGTGTATGGTTTGAATCTCAACTCTGTACTTCCTAGCTGTGTGACCTTGGACAGGTCCCTTGACCTCTCTGTGCTTTAGTTCCTTGATTGGTAGAATGGGATAGTTACAATTAATACCTACCTCATAGGCTCTTACGAAGATTAAATTAGTTAACATACGTGTAAAGTGCTTCAAACAGGGTTTGGCACGCTTTAAGTGCTTTACAAATGTTTATTACTAGTATTTTTATTATTAACATTAGTAAGGTGGTGTTGACATTTGCTTGTTTCTATGATAATGAGGGGAGGTTATAGCAGAGAGGATGAGATTGAAGATGGTGGGGTACCACTTAGAAAAGAATCAAGATGCCCCTTTTCTGACTCAGGATGAAAGGAGAAAAGGATGGGCCCAGAAAGGCAGGTTTGGAGCTGAAAAGAAAGTGAGAGAGGTCATGCCTGCATGCTCTCTAGTCTGTAAATTAGAGATGAAACCATACGACTGATCAGAATGAGAGGGCAGAGTGGGGATGGGACCTTGAAGCAGGGTGGGGAAGGGTTGGAGTAGACGCTGTGAGGAAGAGAGAAGAGCAATGGTGAACCATGAAGACAGCCCTGCTGAGGTTGGAACCCAGCTAGGACAGGGAGCCAGCCTGCGGGGCTGGGGGTCTTCTCTGACAGCCCTCAGCAGTCCACCAAGAATGGAGGAAATGGGTCGGGAGTTGAGGCGGGGCTGAGGAGAGGCTGAATGATTGCAATGCAAGACCAAGGAAGCAAGGGAATTGGTGGTACCTGTGAGACCATACCTGAAATGGAGAAAGGAGACAGATGTAATATGGCTGCCTCAGCTATCAGCGGGGACCTCTTTGCCCTTCTTCACCCTGGTTTCATAACTTATTATTGTAAACATAGAGTAGAATGGCAGACAGCTATCAAAATATGAGGTAGATCTATATATATTGGAAAGATGTCTATGATAATAGTATTCAGGAAAAAGAGCCTGTTGCTTAAGACAATAGTATGATTCCATTTTTATTTTAAAA